ACAATAAAATTCAGTTATGGGGCTCATGTCCAGTGCTCCCGGAAACCCATCAGTGAGGAGTGGAGTCTGGGAGGCAGTGTTGGGCTCTGACCTGGTCAGTGACTCTGAACTCTGAGATCTCAGGGATATTCTCATGGTCACCTGAGTTCACCCCAGAGCTGGTTATAGAATTTCTCTAGGAGTAGGCCAGTGTGTCTTTCCTAGGTAACCCCCTGGAACACTGGGCACAGGACATATTGGGAAATGAGCTGTGGGTTGTGTTATGTCCTAGTCTGTCTTACCTGCTACTCCCGGAGGGAAGGGACGTTCCCCAAGCTCATGGGCCTATCCCCTCAACTAAAGGTGGGCTTGCTGGTTTCAGTGGGCACAATGGAGTCACTGATGCCACTTCCTGCCCCCATGTTCCTGCTCTGTGGTTTGGAAATGCTCAAGATGTTCTCTCTACTCCCTGCAAGGGTGGACCTTGTGTTCTGTCCTCTGGATGGTTGTGGACATTTGCACTACTTCAGCATCCAGAGCGACCCATTCCCACTCGCCCTTTTTCCTCTGCCCAAAGCCAGTCTCTGCAGACATCAACATAAAGCCATGACTCATGAACGGGGTGGAGAGGCCGGGCTACTGTTTCAGCTCCATCCCTGAGTTCTCATATCCTTGTTTTCGCCTCAGGCTCCTCACCTGTGCCACAAGCTGGTTCACTCAACTTTTCTTCAGACTTCCTGGTCTATGGGAATGGACTCCAAAGGAAAAAGGACTGGGGAGCTCCTGGAACCCAGCCTCTATTAGGAGTATACGAAGCCTCAGGGACCCCCTGAGTCCCCAGGGACTTTGCAGGGAGATGCCCAGGATGTAGAGCTCACACTAGCACCCTGCTCACAAAGTACCCTGGGGTTCCCAATGTCCTGGGTACTACTGAATTTGGGTCCAAGGTCTTCTTCCCTGGGAGTGGAGGGCTCTCTGTGCTCAGGGCTGAGGAGCAGCCCTGTCAGGTCCCTTTGTTCCTTATCATTCTCAGAAAGGGAAGGGACATATCTGGAGACTCCCAGCATGGCTGTTATTAGTACTGGTGCCCACTTCTGGTTTTAGGAAGGGCAAGGGTGATGACTTAATCAGGACTTGGGGGATAGGGGTCTTCCCTTTCCTGGAGACCCAGAGAGCAATTAGATCCCGAGCTGGGGAGGATATACTTGTCACCTCAGCTGCCCTGGATCCAGAATCTTCAGACATCTAACAGATTTCAAGCCCTGTCCTTTGATCGAAGCTTCCCAAATGGTCCCATCAGGAGTTGAACTTCTAGGCAAGAGCGGCCATGTAGACCAGCCTCCCTGCCCCCACTATTTTTTAAATGAGGAAACTGAGGTCCAGTGAGAAGTGACTTGTCCTGTCCAAGGTCCCGGAAGATTCCTGAGTCTCATTTTTTTTTGTTCATCTCTGGAGACCAGTCCTCCTTCATTCCTTGCTGAATGCTTCCAGCACCCTGCCTCCCCCTTCTCTCCTGTCCTCAGCCTTCAGCCTGGGCCTCCAAGTCTACCCACAAACCCAGGCATGCTGCGTCCTGAGCAAACCATGAGTGGCAGTCAACAGGGACGAAGGAGGAGCCATGTAAACATAATCTTGTGTCACCAGACTCTGACCTCCTCCCTGTTCCATTTTTAGAGCCCGCCTCCACATCTGTGCCTTGTCCTCACTGCTCCCATTTTCCTTGAGAACTCTGCACGGTCCTGAGCACCTGCCTTCAACACCACACTGAGATCCTAAGCAGGGAGTATTCACATCCCCTTTAGAGGCGATCGCAGCACTTTGGCAACCCTTGGAGCCATAAGTGGCTTTCAGAGGAGCCTGGGCTGGCTGTAGGATGGTCCAGAACTGACTCAATGCTACAACCTTCCATGGTAGATCCTTACCCTCATCACCCCCAGGCACACTCCACTTGCACCCTTCCAGGCCCAGGTGAAATACCACACTGCTACACGAGCAGCCCTAACCCTCTGGACCACACACTGGACACCCTGTGACCAGCTGTTGCCTTGAGGATGCTCTTCCTCTGGGTCTGTTCCTGGAGTGCAGATCTGTTCTGCAACTCCTTCTCTCTCCTCACTGACCAGGCAGGGGCTGCTAAGCAGTAGACCCTCAGAAGATGTCTGCAGAGAGAATGGAGGAGCACCCCACTAAACCATGGCTGTCACAGGGACCCCACAGGTGATATGTTGCCCACACAGAAATTTGCAAGGTTCCCAGCAGTGGCACATGGTCTAACAGACACAGGTTTGGACCCCAGTTTCTTATTCTGATTCCACAGCTGGCCACCTGTGCAACTCCTACCTGTCCACTAAGATTTGAGGACTCAGTGGTTATAAACCCTTTCTTCTCCTCACCTCCAGTAGTTGCTGCATCCCATGTGTGATAAGACCACGGCACAAAGTTATCAGACGAGCACAGGACTCCCCCTTTCAGGGAACCCCAGGGAATCAAAAGCAGTGTGAAGAGCCTGCAGTAGCTGGCTCTCCGCAGGAGCTAGGGGTGGCACAGCCTGCCCAGAGTTGGTCACATGAAGCCACGGGCAAGTTCCGGGCAGGAGGAGCAGAAGGTCTGGACATCGGAAGACGAGCACTCCAATGACCTGGGCCATCACTTGGCACTTTGTAAGTGCAGACTGAGCACAGCCGGCTGGGTTTTCAGGCTCAGAAGCACATAAAAGAGCTGGCGATGGTCACTGCTGTGACAACCTCAGGGCACCCTTCTGCCTGCCTATTGTAGTGAGAGATGCTTCTGTCCTCTTGGTGCTGTCACTGATCATAGACAGGAAAGGTCTCCTGTAAAGAACAAAAGGCTGAAAACCACAAGGACAGGAAGGAGGGGAGACGGGGCTTGGGATTTTGTGATGTGTGGGTGTTTAGCATCCTCACTGTGAATGGACTTAGGGTTACCTGAGGCAGCTGTGCTTGGGGTAGATATCAAGGACCCAAAAGGACACCGTGTCCATACCATTAAGGACACAAGCTTGACCTTGCTGTCTGTGGACCAGACTGGTACAAAAAGAGACTGGAAAGTGGAGCCCTGTCTGGGAGATGTTGACACTTCTTGGCCTCACCCATGGGCCCTTCAGAGCAGTTCCCGATCTGGGGCAAAGGGGACCCAGTTTTAAGGGTGAATTCAGTGTATTCTGCAGGCCCCTGAACACTGTTTCCTCTGGAATACTTCCCATACTTAAACCACACCCCCAATGTCTACCTCTGCACAAACTTTGAGTCCCATGCGATTCACTTGGCTCCCTGACCTGTGGTAGGTAGGTGCTCAGTAGTTTCCAGTGATGCGATTTTTCTTTCCATTCATCTCCTCTTCCATCTCAGGGAACCCTTCCAACAACCCACAATCCACAATTAGGCCAAGGATTAGGAAGTTTATTTTGAAAGCAATACCGAGAGTTGTACTTGGTCCAAGAGGGAACACAGCCCAGGAAGCCTGTGTCACCCGCCCAAGGTGATAGAATTGAAATGTGATGTGGTTATGCCCGGCTCTAGGCCATGCCCTTTTCCTTGTAGAAATCACGAGAGCTGATTCCGCTCTTAAATACCCAGGGCTCAAGTCCCTGCACCCTACGCCACCCCCATTCTCAATATAGCATGGAGCCCATGACTTTCCTCTTTTGAAAGTCGCCCACCCACCTTCTCTACTGTGGAGATTTTATCATGGTGCTTTGATAATCACCTGGAATTTTCTTCTAACATGTACAGGCACTTGGGCTTTGATTCTGACTTGGAACTGGAGCCAAGATCTTCCTAGTTTCAAGAAAGCTCCCTCAGGAATGTCAAAAGTCATCGTTGAAGGTCTTGAAACGCTCCTGCAACTCAGACATGCCACGGTAGAATGCAGGAGAGTCCCAGTGGAGAGATGCAGAAAGATAAGGACTTCGTATTGCTATTCAGACACAGGGGCTTCCAAGGAGGCTGAGATCTGTCCGCAGGAGTTGGCAAATGACTTTATATTGGAGAAAGGTGTTTGAAATGAGAGGAGCAGGCACAGAGGGAGCTGGCGAGGAGGGTGGGTTAGGTAGATGTTGCAGTAGAAACGAAATACTGGATATAGGAAAGCCTATGACAGAAGGGATGGCTGGTATGTGACCATTTGGGACATAACAGAAGAGCTGCAACTGTCCAGTGAGCTGTACTGTGCTCAACTGGCGACAGGTAAACACTGAGGGGTTTTCAGTTACATAGCCTAAGATTGAAGTAGATTAGCCTAGTTGACCCTGTGTGTATAGGCCTCATGATTCTGCTGCATGGGTTTGGTTCAACTGCTTTTTCTTGGGGGCCCACTACGGGCTGCTTATCCCAAGTACCACACATTGCACAAGTAGTTTTCATGTGGCTGCACAACCCTTCTCCAGCTACACCCCTGGCCATGGCTTTCCCTGCTGACTCAGAGTGAAGTATGTTCCTTTGTGCCTTCGCTTTTGTACAGTCCTTCCTCTGCCTAGCATGCTGCTCCACAGCAGCCTGCAGGGTATCCCTGGGTGTCCCCAACCTTCTCCTGTGCTCTCCACGCAGCATGTCTGTCTTTACTGAGTAGTCATTGTGCTGAATGGCTCTCTACAGTTAGCCTGTAAGTTGAAGCAACATGGCTCAGGGCAGGCTCTGCATCCATTGGCTGCCTGTCAGCCTTGCCAGCTCTGGGATTACAAAAGCTTGCCACTATCCACACTTCTTATATGGGGTCTGGGAGTCAAACTCTGGTCTTCATGTTTGCATAGCAAGGACTTTGCTGACAGAGCCATCTCCCTGGCCCCTCACTGCATTTTTCTAACCCACATTTGAGGTTTGCCCTGGTTCTGTCTCTGTAGGGATGCACAGCTTAGATAAGTTTGTACAGTTGCTGATTGGCAGAGCTGGGATTCACACAAGCTCGCTTCAGTGTATCTTGAAGTTCCTGTGCTCTGTCCTTCTCCAGGGCCAGCGGCTGCTTTGAGTGGAATGATGTGGGTTAGATGAGCTGTCTACAGGCCACTTCCTCCCTTTCACCTTTCTTGACTTTCCACTCAGCCAGGACAACTCCCACGTACTTTGTCAAGAATCTAAAGATTGGTATCTGCTTTTGCACTTGGGGAACTTCCCAAGGCCACCAGGCACCCAAACATAACTAGAATACTACCCGAGAGGTTAGGAAAGGACTTTTCCGTGTGGCCATTGGGTATGAGTTCCTTCTCCCTGGGACTCCCACATCTTCCCCATGGTCTGGGAAAGCACCCCACAGCTTCTGATAAAAGCTCAGTACAAGATGAGGCAGAAGAGAGCTCTTGGCTTCACCAGACATTCGCTGGTTGCTCCAGAGAGGCCCGAACCAGAAACTCTCACCATGAAAGTCATCACCACAGCCCTGATGTGCCTGCTGCTGGCTGCGATGTGGCCACAAGATGTGGACAGCAAGAGCAGTGAGTGCTGGGATCCTTGTGCTCGGGACCAGGGAGGGGGAGTACAGGTGGGTGTTCTGGGCATGGGGCAGAGCTCACCCAGATCTCACTGGCTCCATCCCTGCTCCCACTTGGAGAGGAGGAATGGAGCTTATGAATGGGCTGGGGGCATCATGAATGGGGGACGATTATGAGCTAGGGGCAGCCATCTACTGAACTCCCGATTCCTTTTCCAATCTCAGAACTAAGTGGCTGTAGAGCAGACCTAGACTAGGGTCCTCTGGGTGTGGTCCCACGCCTAGCCCTGTCTTGGGAAGGGTTGTTTTCTTTTGAGAGCTGAACTGGCTTCGATGTAGACGATGATTTTGACCCTTACTCTACAGACATTTGGAAGGGACTAATGGGGTTGTTTTAACAAGCTGGGAGCCCTGACAGTCTAGAGGAAGGACTAAGTCTTGTTTCCACAGTGTGACACATGACAGGCAGGGTCTGAAGAAAGAACCACAGGAGCTAATAGCCAGAAAATTACTAGCCCTCTCAAAAATGTTTTCTGCATGGCTAAAATGAAGTCTGTGTTCCATTTGGAGAAAACCAATCTAACAATGGACCCGAGGGTTTCTGTGCATCACGAGTAGGAAGGAGCCAGTGTTAGAACGTGGGGATGCTGGAGATGAGCTGTGGAGAGGGAGTACCCAGACCAGCAGAGGTTGGTATTATTGGGCTATGAAAGAGGTTAGAACCAAGGAAGGGGGTGCAGGAGCTTGTACAGGAGAGTGGACTAGCTACTTCTTGGGAACCATCTCTCCCTTCTGCACTCTTGTGCAGTTCATCGCCAGGTCCCATGTCTGTTATCCGTGGACTGCAATACAATGTGGGAACAGGCTTCATAGGATGTGGGTCTAGAGCCCGAGAGCTTAAGTTCTGGTACAGTACAGAGCCGTGCACTTGTGGTGGGGGGATGGGAACTGAAGGGGGCTGCATATGTGGGATCTCACTGTATGGACAAAGGGTATGTGCTGAGTCATGGGCTCAGGCTGGCTTGCGGTGAGTATCTCCACCATCCCCTGGTTTGTGGGGGTGCTTAGCTCTGCACCCCTTCAGCCTTTTGATTATTCTCCAGAGATGGGTGGCTGCTGAGACCGGGCTGCACTGTGGCCCTCTGGATATGGTATCCATGCCTGAGTCTGTCCTAGGAAGGGCTCTGTGGATTTTACTTTTTAGTCCTTGTGGGGGTGGGAGGCTGAGGTATGGGTGCTAATGGTCTTTTGTGCTTTTATTCTAGTGCACGTGCTCTCCTCTCGCTGCTGCTTCAGATTTCTGAAGAAAATGCCTCCCCCAGAAGTTAATCCAGTGTTACAGAGAGATCAGCTCCTCCTGTTCCCACCCAGCTGTTGTGTGAGTGATTACTAGTCCAGGGAAGGATAACGCTAGCCGGAGTGAGAATAGCGGACACTAGATGGCGCTGTTCTACAGGAAGAGGAACTCTAAACACAGTCAGGCAAACTATGGTGCAGTGCCATGCTTGGTCACTAGGGGGGAGTGTAGGGCTTCCCAGGAGGGAGTCCTGATGTATTTGCTTGAACTCCAGAGTGCCATGTTTATATCCCATATTATATATCCAGAAGGAAATGCTTAACAAAAGCGACAGACAGGCTTAAACATTGACTCAGTGTGTAGTGTTTGGCTGCCCAAGCATGATAATCTGAGTTCACATTCCCTGCAGGCGTGGAGAAGATCAAGCAGGGTGGTGTGAGCTTTTAAGTCCAGCTGGATGAGGCAGAAACAGACATATCCTCTGGGATTACTGGTTCTTGAGCCTAACAGGCTCAAGATTCAGTGAGAGACCCTGACTCAAAAAGCAAGACAGACAATGGCTTGAGGAAGACTTCATACCACCAACCCCTCGCCACCACACATGTCTATAATGCCTATATACCATGAACATCTCTCTCTCTCTCTCTGTCTCTCTGTCTCTGTCTCCCCCTCCCTCCTTCCCCCTTCTCTCACTCACTCTCTCTCTCTCTCTCTCTCTCTCTCTCTCACACACACACACACACACACACACACACCATGACCCAGAGCAATGAGTGGGTCCCAGATAGACACACAGACATTCACAGCTGGAGTGGGGTGCTGTTCTAGGATGGGGAAGTTTCATCCTAGCTACACATCAGGATGTCGGTCAGTTCCTCTGCCCCAGCCCCACAGAGGGCATCCTAGTCCCTAAAGGACGGTCCAGGGGTCCCCACTAGTGAACTCCCAATGTGATGCCAGCATGTGTCAACTTGAGATCATTTACAGAGCGGGGAGCTCAGGGACCCCTGGCCTCACAGAAGTGGAGGCGAGTGTGCCAGGCTCCTGTTGGGTGACTCGGGTCCTTGTGTGTGTCCTCTATTCACAGATTCAGGCTGAAGAAAGGCCAAGAGAGCTGTGCCTTGAGTACAAGTGCTTGGGTTCAAGATTACCTGAAGAAGGTGAAACCCTGCTAGCTGAGGTGAAGATGAGCTACACCTTCCCATCCCAGCTCTGGAGACTGCAGCTCCCCTTCACGCAGTCCCACACCCTCCACCCGCCATGGCTCCCCTGCCCGCTGTGGCTCCCAGATCTCAGTCGTGTGATAAGCTATTTTATGGTACTTTATCTGTTTAAATTATGGAACCTTCAACTCCTACTGCCTGTGTTTATTGAGCTCCATGAGGATTTCTTTCAAGGTTCAGACTTGATTGGAAGTTGGGCTTGAACGCAGGGACTGGAAGGCTGGGGGGTGGGTTGGATCGGATGCCAGAGGAACCACTGTTTAAGATAAGTTTTGACCCAGGCTGTGCTATGGCCTTCCCTCCAGCGTTGATAGCTGAGGAAGCCATAGTAGAACCAGCAACTGGCCCAGGGCTGGGTTCACATTGGGATGGGAGACAACGTGAAGGGAGTCCTGTCTGCCCTGGCCTGAGGGCTCCGGGAGGGTGGTAATTGTAGCCTCTGTAGCTGGAGGAGAGTCTTGTGTTCATCTGCTTGTAAAATGTTGCCAACCTTGTTTTATAAATGAGGCTATCAGAGTCGGAGAAGGACATAGAGAATGTCAGGGCCCAAACTCAGGCCAGGGGACGTCATGGGGAGGTTTAGAGGTATGCGGCAGATCCAGGAAAATGACTTTGACCATGAGTAGGAGTTTCTGAAAGTAAAAGCGTAGCAGATGGCAGGAACTGAGTATGAAGTTAAGGAATTGCAAAGCAGAAAAGTAAACATTAGAGGCTCTGTTCCGGGCACTCAGAAGAGCCCACACCAGACACATAGACTCTGAACATCACATTCCCCCGTGCATGCGGCACCACCCTGATGACCTTAGAGCACCCCCAATGGCTGAGAGTCATCCCTGAAGAAAACCCAATTTCTTCAAAATATCAGGCCCCCCTACTCTGTTCCATCCTTCTGTTACCTACTTAGCAATCCTCACACATATGATGTAGGCCAGTTCCTAAGTCACAGTGTCCCTCCACCTTTCCTTCAGACACACACACAGTTCAACTCTGCAAGATGGAGAGAAATCTGCTCAGGTTACAGGGGGCAGGGTCTGGGGTTCAAGAGGTCAAGAACCAACTTTCTCTTGACTTTGCTTAAAAAATAATCATTGGAGCTGAGGGTGTAATTTGAAGATGGAACATTTGCTCAGTATGTACAAAGCACGATATTGAAATCCCAGCACCATAAAATCATCATAAAAATAGATGATCAGTATTCACAATACAGGCCAAACCACTGAGAATTCAAATAATAATAACATTGAAGGCAAGAAGAGAAGGGGAAGGAGAACAAAGCTGCTGCCTCTCATAGTCCAACAGGGTCTAAGTATGAGCAGGAGAGTGAAGGTCCTGGAGGATGGGGCTCTGGTCTAGGTGTGGCAGTGTCTCCGACCCACATCTGCTTGAGATAGGCACAGAGGTCTGTGTTTAATGAGCACTGGGCACTGCCAATGGAGGAGAGCTACAGACATGAGGAGCCCTCTTCAGGATGCCCCAGGAACCCATTCATTCACTCTGCCACTGGTGGGCCAGGAAAAGGGCTGCCCTGGTGTGTGGAAAGGAGGGACCTCTAGAGGCAGCAGGTGCTCTTCTAGATGACTCAGAAGAACCTTTCCTGGTAGCTGATAAAATTAATGGCAGGGTGTGAAGAGACTGCAGCCACTAGGGGGCAGAGCAATTGTGGGACATTCCCAGGCCTCTCTGGGCACTTTTGTACTGTAGGACTGGGGACACTTTGATACTATCCCTCAACCCTCAGGCACAAGTCCATCTGGCATTTATAGATAGGGACACATAGTGGCAGGGAAGCCTTGGTGATCCAGGCTTTTCCACATCTGTGACTTTCTACCCACACCCACACAACTTTCTATCCATGAGACAGCCTCCTAGGGACAGGTGAGCTGACAGCTCTTCAGTTCTCTCAAAGGAACCTTCCTGCTGGTTCAGGATCTGACCACAGCCAGAAAAAAAGGTCACAGAGAAAAAGGCTTTAGGGGCATGCTTAGCTTCTTCTGGCTATACCAGCAGGTACCCACAGGACAAGGCAAAGCAATCATCTCAGAACCATCCCTCAGTCTGCAGCTCCTGCCTTGGACCCCAGGTTTGGTGGGGTCCATTTGCATGTGACTTGAGATCTCAGACTCTCTTGACTGTGTGGTGATGACACATCCTTGGCATCTGGAAGAGACTGGTGCCTGGGACAGTGGGCAGGGCTTGGTATAGCCCCAGATCTGCAGCACTTCTGACGACCAGAGGCATCACAGACTTGACTCTGAGTTTGGAGTTGACAGCATAGGTACCAGTCTTGCTCTGGGATGGTCTGCAGCTGAACAGGAGAGCTCTGTCTGTCTCCAAACACAATTTCCGCTTTCTAATTTTGGCATGTGTTATGAGACCTACAAAAATATCTAAGGATGCTATGGGGGAAAACAGACTCATGAATACAGGACAAGGTATAAACACTTGCAAAATCCTTCCATTCTGCTCAAGGGATCTGGGAACTGGCCACATGCTTCTTCATGCCACCTGACCCAGTCTTCACAACCCAAGAGAGTGCACGACCCTTATCTCTCTCCTTTTAAGAGATCTCATCTGCAGACAAGAAGCCATACCCTAAGGCTGGTACCCCAAAGCTACTGGTGGAATGATTCGCTCAACACTTCCCTTTTTGTCTAAATAAGAAAGTTTTAAACCAAATACAAAACTATATACAATAAGAATAATTATCAAGTATTGTCCAGGAGAGAGAAAGGGCAATAACATACACAAAAATTGAACTACAATCAACAGGAACAACATCAAGCAAGAAACACACACTAAATGTCCAGACTATAGGTAATTGGCAAATAACAGAGATTTTTCTAATAGCTGTCCTATTCTAAAGAGGCTGAGTCTTGTACCTAAATGCCTTAGTTAAGATATGAGAGGAATGTAACTGTGACTAGCTAGTCTTTAACCCAAAAACAAAGACCTGAAAAGGAAGTACAAGCAGGCAACTTCCCAAAAGTGCAAAAAATGACAGAAACAGCAAAACAGCAGGCTGCCTGGACAAGTCACCCAAGGTCTCACAGTAACATCGGGGTGACCAACTTTGGCTATAGGCATAGAATATTGAGAGACCATTATCAGGAGCAGGAAAATTTGAAAGCCTGTCCTACCCTGTCTTGGCAAGGCTCAGCAGTCACTTTTCATTGTATCCTGCTTGTCCAGATTGGACATATTCTTACTGTCAGCAGTCAAGGCAAAGGCAATTCTTTGTCCAATAGGCCAGTTTTCCCAAGAAGAAGCTCCATATGGAGTGCCTTTGGTGCCCATCATTCTCTGGGGAGTAGATCAGTGTTGCCAGAAGCAATTGTGTCTCACCCCAACAGAATTCTAAATTAAAACACTTAAATGCCATATTCTGTAGGTCTTTGAAGTGTTTGAAGATGGCCTATCTGTGAGGAGTACATTTCTGTGCATCTAGAGAATCCAACTAACAACATAAGTATGACAAACATGAGTGACTATTAACCTGTAATTTTTAATGACCAATGTAGCTTAAAGACTAAAGCATCACATTATAAAAATAAACAATCCTCAAAAGTGTGCACAGCATAAGGACAATGATCATGTAACAATATGTAAAAATATCTTAATCAGAGTTAGAAATGTATAGTGCAATATGACAAAATATCCTTAAATTTGTATCAATATGCAAAATATCTTAAGCAGAATTAGAAACAGTGTGACAAAATAATTTTGCATTCGTGTACAAAATATTGAAAACAGAAATAGGAACATACACAACATGACAAATATAATTTTGAATTTGTATCAATATACAAATTATCTTACAAATACAAAAATAATCTTACATATGTACTAATATACAGAATCTATACCAATGTAAACTGTCTAAAACTAATAGGTGCTAAAATAGTTTACAAATAGATATACTAAGCTACCTTATTATTTTATCTTATCTATTCACCTTTTAAAAAATACCAAATGAGATTCCTGAGTCTAATTATTATTATTTTGCTCTCATAACAAGAATTAATAAAAGACCCAGAGACTGGTGCTGGGGTTCAAGCTTCAGGCTGAATATCAGAAAAGCAAAGGAGCAGGCCACTAGCTTTCACCTCAAGCTCAGCTGAAAGGACTGATCCATGAATGAACTCTTTACCAAGTCTCAAACTGCTGCCTCTACTCTTCAGTGTGGCTGGAGAATGAATGCCTTTTTGAGACCTTGTTTCTGTTTTATATACTTCCCTAATGCTGGGAGCTATAATTCTCTTTTAGACTGATTCACTCTTGTGAAGATCTTGGTGGCCTTGGACTCACAGAGATTCATTTTTCTCTTAATCCTGAGTCCAAGAATTGAAGGTGTGAGCTACCACCTCCTACCTTCTGGCTGCTGGGCCTGGCTTCTGTAGCTTGTGGCTGACTTTGCTCTCTGAATCTTAAATTAAGATTTAATACATAATAAATAATGTATCACTACATGCTCTCAACCCTATAATAACTTATAATCAACCCTGAGAAAAAAGAGAAACAATCCATCCCATCTGTTGGGAGAGGGAGGTTATTTTTTTATTTTTTATTTTTGGAATTACTTTTTAGTGCCTCTTGGGGGTGATACTATCTCGATGGACTCTGTAAAAAAAAAAAAACTAAAACAATGACTCTCAAGAGGATAGCTGTGTAACATTTGTAGCCAGAGCCAGTCTCTGAGTAGTGGGAAAGGCTTATCTGAAGATCTTATCTGTATGAATTCCCACAACAGGAGTGTGAGATACTCAAGGCTCTGGAGATCCTTGTTCTTCTGATAGACTTAGAAGTGGTGCTGTTGGCTTAGGGGTTCCTGGAAAGAGAGAAGGACAAAAGGCAAGAGAGGTAACGGAGGAGAAAGACAGATGGGCTTCCTCTGACTGAGTCAGCTGTGGGATCCGGAGGGTGGTTGTGGTGAGCGGCAGGTCCAGAAGAGTTCCAGAGGTGCGCACAACATCTCTGTCTTGGTTAATCTCCGCCTTTCTTCTTTGGCCGTTCTGCCCATCTTCTTTAAGGAATGCACATGGGCGACTGTCTGAAGAGTTTCTCTTAGGACAAGTCATAGACAAATCACAAGGGAGAGTTCCCTCAAATCAGTGAGATGGTGTTGGGTATCAAGCAATACACCAGGACGTGCAAGAGGGAAGCCATGGGTGGTGCACACGGGTCACTCATGCCTCAGTGCCCAGTA